AGCCTGAGATGAAGAGAGAACAAGATATATATAGATATAGATATATAGATATAGATATATATATAGATAGATAGATGTATAAATGGATAGATGGATGGAGGGACAGAGGGAGACACAGAGAGAGAGGGAGGAAGTGAGGGGGAGAGGGAGGAAGAGGAAGAGAGTGAAAGTAAGAGAGAGAGAGATTTATATATATGGTTAGAGAGAGAGAGAGAGAGTGAGACTGTATAAAATCTTTACTATTATTTTAACTATTACTGCAGCGTTATGAAGGTTTACAGTTATATTGACATTTTAACTATTATTATAATATTGTAAAGATTATAAAAGTGTGCTATTATTATTATTAATATTATTATCATCATTATTATTATCATCAAATCTTCTCGCTATTGTTAAATGCTATTAGTATGGATTTCATTATCCAAATATGTGCATACTATTGTTGTTGTTGACATTATTATTATCATTATATCTTCAAAATAATAATGATTATTGGCCATATCATAATATTATCGCTATTACAATACTCTGCAACCATTATTATGATCATTATTATTGTCTGCACTATAACAGGCAGTTATTTCTTTAATTATCGTTTTCACTATCATCACGAATTTTTAGTTTCGATTTCATGATTACACAATACTTGTTAATTGATGGTAAGAGCAATTGATTTTACCGATTTTCTGTTAATTGGTTTAGATACTATTTATGATCTATTTTTGTCATGGATTATATATATATATATTTTTATAGCAGTTGAGTTAATTCAAATTGTTAAATTGTTTAAATGTTCGGTATGATTTCTTATAACATGCACACACACACACACACACACACACACACACACACACACACACACACACACACACACACACACACACACACACACACACACACACACACAAGCCTGTATAAAACATGTTCACAATAATACTAATGCGATAAGAATAATAAAAAAAAAACATACAAAAATGACCATTATGAATAATGTACACTACATTAATTGATAAAAGATATAAATATGCAATTGAGAATATTGTAATCACAATAATAGGTAATGAAAATGATACTGTAAAATGATAGATGAAATGCAAAATAAAATTGTATAAAATACTAAACAGCCTAAGAAACAAAAAAAAAGTATATAATTGCTATAAAGTACACATGATAGATATATATCATTGGGATTTAAAAAATGCCTAATAATGACGTAAAATACAGTAAGTATATAAAAAAAAAAATCTAGACAAAATGTAAGAAACTATATATAAACCTACAACTGCTGTGAATATAAGAATAAACACGCAAGAAGATATAACCGTTTCGAGATATGAAACATAACAGAGATTTAATCATGTAATTCTTTTCGAAGCCTCATGAAGCCGTTCGTACGACTCCGAAACCACTTGAACTGTCAAACGCCGAGGGCTTATCTTCAATTAGTGCTGAGGAGCTATCTTGTCTTATCTTCCTGTCATAGTACCAGATAAAACACCGATAAGGAAAGAGAGAGAGAGGGGGGAGGGAGAAAGGGGGAGAGGGGAAGGAGGGACTGAGAAGGAGTGGAAACGAGGAGAGGAGGGAGAGGGAGGGAGGAGAGAGAGAGAGAGGGAGAGAGAGAGAAAGAGAGGGAGAGAGAGAGAGAGAGAGAGAGAGAGAGAGAGAGAGAGAGAGAAGAGAGAGAGGGAGTGAGAGAGAAAGAGAGGGAGAGTTAGAGAGAAAGAGAGGGAGAGTTAGAGAGAAAGAGAGGGAGAGTTAGAGAAAGAGAGAGAGATAGGTAGAGACAGAGAGATAGAAAAATTGAGAAAGATAGGTGCTAGAATGTTCTTTCGTGTTAACCTTCGTTTCATGCACGTATCAAGTATATAAATATAATGTCACCACCTCACAACTGTTATCAACAAGTTTCATTAAAGTTGCTTTGTGTGAGTAAAACCCTACAAAGGAACCCTCTGGCTGAAGCTTGAAGCTTACTGTCTCAAATTTCATTGAACTTTATGTATTTTGATAAAATGTCTATGCGTCTCATTTCCCTCCTAACCTACATCTCCATTTCCCTCTGTCTCGGTACATTTGTTTAAGTGATAATTTTTAACAAAGAATGTAATTTTTTTTTATTTCTTTATTTTACATATGAACAGGGAATGTCTTCAAGAAATACTGGAGTCTCTCTTCCTGCCAACTCTGAGTTAATGAAATGCCTTTACTGTAGTATTTACCTTCCCTCAAGTATCATTTTCGGAACAAAACAATATCACTTTTAATTCGGTGCCGCCGGGAAAATCATGTGCTCATTTTTTTTTTTTTTTTTATTATTATTATGTTTTTGTGTGAAATGTCTCTATACATAGATGGCTCTGCTAGTGCTTAGCCACAAAGGAGTCAATTAGTAGACCCTGTGATCTTACTCGATTTCACCTTTCCTTGAATTGGCGGGAAAAACATTTTATTTACTAATGCTATGAATATCGATGGTGTTATTTTTATTATAGACATTATAATTAGGGCCTACTATAATGTTATAGACTTAACAGCAATATAAGATAACGTAAAATATTTTCGGAAATCGAGGGAAAAGGTTACAGGCGAGATAGACAGTATTCGTAATTGGCTCAATGGTGACTTGGTGCAAATGTAGCCATTTATGTGTAAAGACAATTTACAAAGTAAACTCACAGTGGGTATGGCATGTACGTACATGTCATGCTCATCGGATTTCGGTTAATCAATATTTACAATAGAAAAAAAAAAATGAGAAAAAAAAAATCGTAGCACTGAACCAATAAAAATCACCCTTAGACAAAAACTATTGTAGAAAAAAATGAGAGTTTTCCGCGCTCTACCGCCATAGCGTAGCGCGCGAAAACCCCGTAAAAATCATGCATTTTTTAAAACACTTCCCGACCCGACTCCAAAAGGTTATTAGTAGTAGTATCGTAGAACCAGTAGTAGTAGTAGTAATAGTAAAATGATTAGCTGGATTGATTGTTGTAGTAGTAATAATAACTAGAGCAGTAGGACCAGTAATATTAATAGTAGACACAGTATCAATAATGGTAGTAGCAGTACTAGTATTATTTCGCAGTAATAAACCCGAAGCACTATTGCTGTAATGTTCGTTCTTGATATGGTAAAAGTCTGCATAGCTTTATATATATATACAGGACGTTGCATTTCAGAACGGTGTGACGATGATAATAAAATCATGGTGAAATATATTTAATAATTCTCATTGGTTCTACTCTCTCTCTCTCTCTCTCTCTCTCTCTCTCTCTCTCTCTCTCTCTCTCTCTCTCTCTCTCTCTCTCTCTCTCTCTCTCTCTCTCTCTCTCTCTCTCTCTCTTGCTATCTCTATTTTATTCTTAATTTTGAATCATTAATATTTTTACCCATTTTTCCTTTTTCGTGTTTTTCATTTTCTAAATACAACAGTAAAAACGAAAATGACAATCATGATAAGAACAATAATAATGATGAAACTAATAACAATAACATTATTAAATATAATGATCACAATAAAAAAGGATTTCCATGGCAGGCAAATAAGTATCGATTTTGACCAATAACAATGATAATGATAAGAGTAATAACAATAATGACATTAAATATAATCATCACGAGAAAAAAATATCCTGAACTGTAGCTCAAGAGAAGAAAAAAAGTCGATTTCTACAATATTTTCGCGACTGTTGATTCCGACTATAATAATAATAATACTGATAATAATAATAAAGATAATATCAATATTAGATTTAATAATCACATAAAAAAACAGAAAACAAGAATAACAGTAACTATAATAGTGATGATAATAACTATAATACTAATAGTAATAATAATTATAATAGTAATAGCAACAATAATTATATTAGTAACAAAAATAACTATAATAGTAATAACAATAATTATAATAACAATATCAATAACTATAATAGTAATGACAATAACTGTAATAGTAATAACAATAACTATAATACCAATGACAATAACTATAATAGTAATAACAATAACTGTGATAATATTAATAATAACTATTATAGTAATAAGAATATTAAGTATTACAATGATCACAAAATAATAATTTAAAAAAAACTGAATTTTAGTGCAATTCATCCAAAAAGTCAATATCCATAATTTTTCGCGACAGGCTGGCAAATAAGTATCGATCTGGACTTCGCTTCTCTTGGCTAGCTAATGATAATCACAGTAATAATAATCATAGTAATATCGATAATGATAGTACATATATATATATATATATATATCCATAACAATAATGATGTTAGGTAATGTAATAAACACATTTAAAAAATCATAAAATTCTGCTGAACTGTAGTTTAAAGGATTTTTATAAAGCGTTTTCTATAACTAGCTAGTAAATAAGTATAGATTTCGACTAATAGCAGTAATAATGATAATAGTAGTAATAATGATAGTAAATATTATAATTATCACAGCGACAAATCAGTATCGATTTCGACTAATATCAACTATAATCAGAATAGGAATAACAATAATAATATCCCAAATCAAAATGATCACACGTTTTAAAAGATCATAAAATCGTGAACAATAGTTTTCGCGACCGGCTGGCAAATAAGTATCGATTTCGACTAACCTGTTGGGTAGCTCCGTGGAGTTTGAGTCATAAAATGATCACACTTTGGAGAAAAACTAAATAAAATCCTGAATTGTACCTCAAAAGTTTTTAAAAAAAATCTATTTCCATAAAATTTCGCGACCGGCTGGCAAATAAGTATCGATTTCGACTCACCTGTTGGGCAGCTCCGTGAAGTTTGCGTCACTTTAGAACACACTTTAGAACAAAAATAAACAAATAAAATCCTGAATTCCACCTCAAAATCTTCTTAAAATCTATTTCCCTAAATTTTCACGACCGGCTGGAAAATAAGTATCGATTTCGACTCACCTGTTGGGCAGCTCCGTAGGGTTTGAGTCGTAGACAGAGAGCTACTGACTCCCTTGACCGGCGG